GAGCTGAGGGACAGCGCCCAAGCCCAGAATTCAAGCCCCATGACCGACAAAAAACAAAAAAACCTTTGTTTAAAAACAAGGCATGCTTGTGATGACTGTAATGGACTATTTTTGAAGTATTGAAGCTGCTCCCTAGTTCCATTTTAGAGGGTAATCTAGGACATTTTAAAGGTGTTTTTTTCAGGGGGGGAGTTCATTTTTTAGTATTTAAAAAAATTAGTCAGTGGACAGCGCTTAAGGGAGGAGGACAGATTAATTCCACTTGCTACATCTCGTTTAGAAAATGTGTTGCCCATGTGTTCCTTAGGAAGGAGTATAAGGAATGCCTCATTGAATAACATATTCCTTGAAAGTTGCCTTTTTTCTCCACCCTTGAGTAGACTCAGTTTTTCATGAAGCTCATGAAGGTGGGTGGAAGCCGTCTTGCTCTCCTCTTTGCTAAGACACACTCTATATGTGACTGTGACTTTCAAGGAAATTCATTTGCCATTTGCCTTTTTTTTGGAGGGGGGAGTAATTTCTAACTTCTTTTACTCACAAATGAAGGAAAGTATTATACCTTTTGAAATACACAAAATTGACTTCATACATAATTTTATTTTTCCTGTCAGCCATTGATTTACATGCTTCGCACGGATTTGCTAGTCAGTCGTGTGGTATTCCTAGAAGCCAGCTGAAGACTGGCCTACAGAGAGACTCTGAGAGGGGTGTTGGGAGACAGAAGCCTGTGGGGTGACTGGCAGCCTTTCTGGTGATGAGGCTGCCAGGCCTGCTTCTTAATCTGGGGCTGGTGGAAGGGCAATGCTTACCCAACATGGGGACCATCCTTTGTTCTGTCTTGCATATGAGGAACCCTTGAGCAACCTGATGAAGCTCTCCAGTTTAATAAAAATTGCAAGAGTCTTATTAAGACTCTTTATTATGTGTTAATATTTTGTCAGACTATTTCCGTTGCAATATCCAGTTTTTAAAGCGTGTAGGTAATCTTTTCCACGTTCCTCAAATCCTAATTCTTATAGATTCATTAGCATTGAACCAATGCTTCCTCACTGTCCCTGAGTTATTGTAAAAGTGGCTAGCACTCTGTCACTTGAGTCATAGATCTACTTTTGGCTTTTTTGGTGGCTAATTGGTGATAAGAGTCTCATGGACTTTCATGCCCAGGCTGGTTTGATCATCAGATCTCAGCCTCCTGTGTAGCTAGGATTATAGGTATGAGCTACTGGTGCCCAACAATTTTTTCACTTTTGAATGATAATTTCCCTGGATATAAAAATTAGGATTGAAGCTGGGTGCCAGTGGATCATGCCTGTAATCCTAGCTGCTCAGGAGGCTGAGATCTGTTGATCATGGTTCCAAACCATCCTGGGCATGAAAGTCTGTGAGACTCTTATCTCAAACCACTCAGAAAACTGAAAGTGGGCACTGTGGTTCAAGTGGTAGAGCACTAGCCTTGCGCTGAAGAGCCAAGGGACAGCGCCCAGGCTCAGAGTTCAAGACCCATAACCGACCAAAAAAAAAAAAAATAGGATTGGCAGATTTTTGTCAACACTTCAAATGTTTCATTGTATTGTCTCCCAACTTACCTCGCTTCTGAAGAAAAGCCTGATGTAATTTTATCCTTGATCCTGATGGCTAAGGTGTTTTTTTCCTAACTTCTGGCTTCTCTAAGATTTTCTTAGAGAAAATTCTGAAATATGAATATAACATGTTTTGGTGTTATATTTGGTATTTATCATAATTGATGTTTTCTGAGCTCCTGAGATTTGTGGTGTGGTAGTTGTCATGAATTATGAAAAATCCTGTCATTACTGTTTCAAATATTTCTTCTGTTCCATTTCCTTCTCCACTTAGTATTTTTCTTTTTTTCTTTTTTTTTTTGGGGGGGGGGTCTGGTCATGGGCCTGAACTCTGGGCCTGGGCACTGTCCCTCAGCTCTTCAGCTCAAGGCTAGCACTCTACCACTTGAGCCACAGCGCCACTTCCGGCTTTTTTCTTTTTGCTTATGTGGTGCGGAGGAATTGAACCCAGGGCCTCATGCATGCAAGGCAAGTGCTCTACCACTGAGCCACCTTCCCAGCCCCTCTACTTAGTATTTTTCATTATGCATATGCTGCATCTTTGTAATTATATCACATGTTCAAGTATTGTGTTTGTTATTGTCAATCTTTTTCTCTTTGTATGACAGTGTTGAAAATTTCTGGACATACCTTCATTTGCTGATTCATCACTGGCTCATTAATGAACTTGTTAATAACATTCCTTCTGTGTCTTGATTTCCAGTATTTCTTTTTAACTACAATTAGATGTCAATCATATAGTGAAGCGTGTCCCTAGAATATGACCTTCATTTGTGCTTCTCAGTAAACATCATCCCAAACCACGGTGGCACAAAGAAGGTAAGAGAGAGCTAGAGTTTAGTATTTCCTTTCCTCAAAACCAACGAGATGGCCAGGTGCTGGTGGCTCATGCCTGTAATCCTAGCTTCTCAGGAGGCTGAGATCTGAGGATCATGGTTCAAAGCCAGCCAGGGCAGGAAAGTCCATGAGACTCTTATCTCCAATAAACCACCAGAAAACCAGAAGTGGTGCGGTGGCTCAAGTGGTAGAGTTCTTACCTTGAGCTGAAGAGCTGAGGGACAGAACCCAGGCCCAGAGTTCAAGCCCCACGACCGACAAAATAAACCACTAGACTTGGATAAACCTCAAACTGATTGTGTTTTGATTTAAAAAAAAAAACAACAAAACTTTTTATAGCCAAAAACAATGGTCAAGCCTGTAATCCTAGATATTTGGAAGACAGAGATGAAGAGATTGAGGCTTGAAGTCAGTTTAGGTATGAAAGTTCATGAAATTGCACCTCAGCCATGTTTATGTGTGGTATCATGCTACTGACATCCCCAACAACACAAGTAGGAGGTTCACAGCTCAGGCTGTAATAAGTAATGCAAGAAGAGGCTGAAGATATGCCCTAAGTGGTAGTTATAGAAATCCTACCTAGCAAGTGAATATCTCAAGGTCAGTCTCCAATAATGCCAAAAAATAAGTTTGTTTTATGAGCAGTTGTATGTAAGGTATAACTTCAAACTATGAGTATTTCTTCCCCCTTTTGACAGAGCAAGAGGGAATTTTGTTGTTGTTGTTGTTTGTGGGACTTGAACTATGGGCCTGAGCACTGTCCCTCAGCATTTCAGCTCAAGGCTAATGCTCTACCACTTGAGCCACAGTGCCACTTCTGGTTTTCTGAGTGCTTTATTGGAGATAAGAGTCTCATGACTTTCCTGCCTCGGCTGGCTTTGAACTGGGATCCTCCTATCTCAGCCTCCTGAGTTGCTAGGATCATAGGCATGAACCACTGGCACCCAGCATGAGGGAATTTTTATATGATTGATACTCCGAGAACCTGAGGATACACCAGAGGTAATACTGGTGAGAATGTGGGACTCTTAACATTTGTAGAGTTTTTTTGTTTTTTGTCAGTCATGGGGCTTGAACTCTGGGCCTGGGTGCTGTCCGTGTGCTCTTCAGCTCAAGGTGAGCACTCTACCGCTTGAGCCACAACACCACTTCCAGTTTTCTAGTGTGCTTTTGGAGATAAGAGTCTCACGGAGTTTCCTGCCTGGGCTGGCTTTGATCGTGATACTCAGATCTCAGCCTCCTGAGTAGCTAGGATTACAGGTGTGAGCTACCGGTGCCCAGCTTTTGTAGAGTTTTAACCACATTATTTCAGCATTTGGTCAATCACAATTTAGGATTCTCTACCTTAATACTGTCTGCAGTGTCTGGAACCTATTCTCAAACTTCCCTTCAGGTAAGCTGGGATTTCTCCTAGGTTCATGGATATTGGGGTTGGGGAGGTGTGTTGTGGGTCAGTACCCTAAAGAATTTATGGACAGTAGGATTATGGGAGCAGTAAGAAGGGAGCTGGACATCAACCAAGGAGAAGAACTCTTAAGACTTGATAGATTAAGCTGTAGCTCTTGATCTGGCATCAGAGACTCTTCTGTTTTTTTGTTTGTTTGTTTGTTTACCGATCCTGGGGCTTGAACTCTGGGCTGTGTGCTGTCCCTGAGCTTCTTTTTCTCAAGGATAGTGCTCTACCACTTGAGCCAGAGTATGATTTCGACTTTTTCTGAGTAGCTTATCAGAGAGATAAGAATCTCATGGACTTTCCTGCCTAGGCTGGCTTTGAACAGCAATCCTCAGATCTCAGCCTCTCGAGTAGTTAGGATTATAAACATGATCCACCAGTGCCTGGCTCTTCTACTTTTGATTCATATACTAGCCTCGTGTCTTAAAGGTCCTATCCAGAGGTCAGAATTCTGCACTCATGGCCTGGGCCCAGCACCTCAACCCCAACAAATCACTTCAGGCACTTCCTCAGGATCACGGGGCATTGGTTCTTTTTCCTTAAAATCCCAGTGATGCTGCTTCTCTGCTTTTTTTTTTTTTGGCCGGTCATGGGGCCTGAACTCTGGGCCTGGGAGTTGTCCCTCAGCTTTTCAGCTCAAGGCTAGCGCTCTACCACTTGAGCCACAGCACTACTTCTGGCTTTTTTCTTTTTGCTTATGTGGTGCTGAGGAATCGAACCCAGGGCCTCAGGCATGCAAGGCAAGTGCTCTACCACTGAGCCACCTTCCCAGCCCATGCTTCTCTGCTTTTTGAAGGCACTTGTTCCCTTTCCCTTGAAATCCAGATGCACAGCCTGCCCTCGTTCTGGCACTCCCTAGGATTAGGCCAACCTTTACAGGCAGATGGACCCTGCTCTTTCCAGATGCGCTAGGTCCTCAACATTCCCTTGATATGCTTCCCATATCCCTCTTTTATACCAGGGACCCATCGTTGAGTCTTTCTGTGAGGCACCACTACCTCTTTGGGGAAGGGAGATTACTATGGCTGACCCCAAGGGAAGATGAACATGGAGGGGTAGGGAGAGCCAAAGAGTAGATCCTGCAGCCAGAGTAACAAGGTGATAAGTTTTATTTGGCTTGATTTTTTTCCAGGCTTGGTTTGGGAAGTGACATTTGATGGATACATAAGGTGAGGGAAAGGATCAACTTAGACTGATGGGGGCTGTAGGGAGAGATACTGAACTTTGGACAAAAGTTCTGAACAGTGAAAATGTCAAGGCGTCCAGTGGTCACCACGAGGCCTGCTGTGGGATGGTGAAGAGAAATGGCAGCAGGAGCCAGGTCTGTGCAGACATGAGGGTGCTATAGGGCTGAGCTGAGCCAGCAGACTTCATAGGTGCTGAAGGGGAAAAGTCCATGTGAGGAGGTGTGGAAACGGGGTTCAGGAGAGGAGTTTGCCTCTTGACTTCACTGATCCACTCAAGGAAGTAGGCAACCCTAGTGAAGACACTGGGGTAGACAGGATGCTGGCAGTCCAGGCCCCAGCTGGCCAGTCCTACCAGAACCCAGATATTGGGGTGGAAGCAGACAAGGGGTCCCCCAGAATCACCCTGAGGAAAGAGAAAAGAGTTAGTGTGGCATCTGAGTGGAGACAGGTACAACACATGGCAAAGCTGGTGTCTGCACTGCTCTTCTTGAGATAGGACTCTAGAAACCCCCACTTGTGGGGACCCCAGAGCCCCAGGGGAGCTATGACTGGATGCTGGAAGTACGAGTGAAGGATGTATATGGAGAATGCATGATGGCAGCAGAAATTTGCTGGTTTGTGTGTTGGCCTTATCTATGTTTGAAATAAAAATAAAGGATAGCTAATGAACAGTTTAACAAAATGAATGCCAGGAAGCTGAAACACGTCTTGTCAGGTGAGGAGGTCAAGAGGAGGTAGAGTAAATGAATGGAGAGAGAAGGGTGGGTGAATATAGTCATTATATTCAATTTACATATGTTAATATGGAACCATATAAATTGAGGGTTTGAGTGGGATTGGGAATGTTAGAAGAGCACAATGGAAGGAATGACAATGATCAAGATGTATTATACTTTATAAATATGTTAAAAACAATAGCAAGAAAGAAAAAAAAAACATTTGTGTCCCTATCTTGGGGTTCATTTCTTAACATCATCTTATATGGTATATGTACATAGCTTTTTTTTACCTTTTCTGCTTGTCCTAAACTTATACTAAGTTATTGAAAATAAGGGGAACCACGGGACTTATGTTTCTTTGCGTCTGGCTTATTTCACTTAATATAATTTTTTCCAAGTCTTTCTATTTCCTAATAAATGGGGTGATGTCATTCTTTCTGATTGAGGTATAGAATTTATATATATATATATAATATATATACATATATACATACATATACATATATATAAATGCATATACATATATATGTATATATACATACATATACATACATATATATATATATATATACATCACATTTTCTTGATCCATTCATCTACTGAGGGGCACCTGGGTTGGTTCCATATCTTAGCTATGGTAAATAATGCTGCAATTCTTTGGTATGTTCCTCCCCCATGGTAAAACCCTTGTTTTCACTGTATTTGATCCTGGTGCCCTGCATCTTGTATATACATTTTTCTAATTTGGGGAGGGGAAGGGAAATAACAAAATGCTGAAATAAGGATACAGGTTGACCCATTTAACAATGAGATGTGCAAGACACTATGTTGAAAACAAACTTTACAACTTTGTGGGGGGGAGGGAGGAGTTGAGGAGGTGGGGAGGGATGTTATGGTAGGGGGAAAACAAAGGAGGAGGCAACAATGCTCGATAAAAAATATACTCATTACTTTACTCATATAACTGTAGCCCTTCTGTACAGTAATTTTGCAATATAAATGTATAAAAAAGATGTATTGGTTGAAGTGAAACCCCTTCATCCAACTACATATAGGTAAAAAGTAAAACAGACATTCTAAGAATCAGGGCAATAGTGTAAATTAGAAGGGTCTACCATTTTGATTCTACAAATGAGAAGAGTCAGGTAACACAGAAGACACTAACTACATACTCTGAAGAAAGAGAGAAGAGCACTCAGAATCACAAAACTTGGTGGTGGGACAGAAAAAAGAATAGAGAAACAGGCAAAAGGAAAAAGTAGCCATCATTTCTGTTCTGATTTCCCAGAATGGGGAGGGAGACCTGAAGACACTATTATAAGGTAAAGGGATGGTCCTGCTCACAAACTGAGAATTCCAGCTACAAGATAATCCTGGAACTCCCATAAGCCTTAAACTCAGTGCAGGATTTGGTGAGAATTACTACTCCAGTGTAAAGGGATCGATTTGGTGAAGAAATGTTCTGTCATGTCACCTACCTTGGAGGGTGAGAGCAAGGTGCAACCTGAGAGAAAAATGTATAGTTTGAAACTGAGATACGCTGGGAGCCTGATCACAAGGAGCACTAGTAGCTCAGGGAGTCTTGAGATACTTCCACAGTGGTGAATCTAGTAGAGTGAGGTCAGATATAGTCCCACAGATGAGTTCAAGCAGCTAGGAGCTCTGGCAGAGAAGGGCCCTGTGATCACAGGCCTTCCCTTGTAGGGTGAGGAGGGAGTTCTGTTCTTGGGGATCAGATAGTAACAAAGAACTTAGTCTATATAGCCAGCTTAGTGTTCGGTATCCAGGGCCGTCTCCCAGCCAGAAGTATTGACTGTGAGGCCTTAGCCCAAATCCTCTAAACTACAGCCTCTCTACCCCAGCCCACCCCTAACACGAAGGAACTGTTGAGGCTCAGTCTGAAAGCACTGAGTCTTGTACCCAGACACTGCATCCCTGCAAATATCAACTGCTGGGCAGGGCTGAACGTCCTAAGTTCAGATCACCTGCATCATGAAACTTCCATAGCCTCTGCCTTTCCACAGAGAAGTCAACTTTTGGATAGGAACTGTAAGCATTGAGACCAGTAGGCAGAGAAATTAGCTCTGGAACAATGAGAATGAACAAACTGAACATCACAATGAAATATTAAGATGTGAGTACCAACTGTAATTCCTACATACAGAAAATCAGAATCACTTCAAGTTTAAATGAAAAGGTAATGGTTACCCTTGGGCATTTGAGATGAGAAGAGGACATAAGAAAGCTGGCAATGTGTTAATATGGGAAAGTTCAATCAACTGTACACCTGTATGTTCTTATATGTTCTGATCCAATTGCACCAAAGGGATGCAGTATGAGGGTTCTTCCAATGGCTGAAGAAGAGGCTAATCTGGCAGGGGGTGGGGGGTGGGAGATACTACTGTGGAATGGAACTTAAGGAAAACAGAGAGAGTGAAGAATACAGGAAGTCCAGGGGTAATCCACACGGAAAGCAAAGGCGAACCTAGATCCTCTGGGTAAACTGAGGCCCAGAGAATAGGCACAAAAAGAACAAAACCCAGTTTTACTCACTCGGCAAATGGACCTCCCTGTTGAGAAGTCCCCTGCACACAGCATCTCTTCATGCACATAGCCCTTGTCATTGCCAGATACTTGCCCATATAAGGTATTACAGAGTTTATTCTCAACCAGGTTCACTTTGGCCTCCTGGAGTGAGAAGGGTGGTAACAGTTTCACTGTGAAAATAAGCAGAAGGTCAGTGAAATGTCCCCATCTGATCCCACACTCTGTGATATTCACTGCTACCCCTAAACATGAGTGTTTCCCAAAATAGCTGAACTTTATAATCTGCTTCCGTCTTCTAGCTCATCCTGAAAAGTTTCTCTCCTTTTCTCAAACCTTCCCACATTTCCTCAGGCTCACAGCAACAGGCTATACTTCTACTACTACTTCATGACCCAGTTAATGGCATTCAACAACCATTCCCTGACCCACCATTAGATGGTCATTTCCACTTTCTTCCATCCATTCATCCATCCATTTTCTCATACTCATCCTTCTATCCACTCACCCTTTTCATCAATATCCCCATATATCCCTCTTCCCCCTCCCTCTGCTATGATAACACATCCACTCACTCATGCGATCCATTCACCTATGCCTACGATCCATTCACCTACACGCACATCCTCATCCCCTCCATCTAATACATCCGCCCACATCAGCTATCTTTCCATATACCTCTCTTCTTCCTTCTTCACAGCCATCCTTCCCTTTTTTCTGGCCAACAATCCATCACCCACCTTTACATCCATCCATCCACCTATTTTCCCTTCCATCTTCCTAAAGCCCCCTCCCATCTATTCATCTATTCAGACACCAGATCACTAGTTATTCATTTATCTTTGTGCTTTTAGACATTATCAATACAAGAGAACATATTTGATTGCAGAAACAGTAAATTTACTAAGGTAGTATGAAGGAAATAAAACACAAAGACATGGTAGTAGAGGTTGCCTATTTTAGCTTACATGATTAAGTAAAACTCCTCAGAAAAGGACATGAATTGTACATGTCTAGATGAAAGTAGCCATACAAAGACTGGAAAGAATGAGTGAGGCAGGGGTGGAAATGGCCTGGGTATCTTCAAGTGGCCTTAAGGTGGCTGGTGTAACTTGGATGGGATATGTGAGGAGGGATGCAGGAAATGAGGCAGATAGGAAGTAGGGTACCCACATCATGCAAGGCCTTATAGTCATGGTGGGAGTTTGAATTTTATGACAAGCCAAAGTGAGAAGAAATTAGAATATACTAAACAGAGAAGTTATGTTGTTTGTGTCTTAAAGTAATACTGTTGTATGTGCAGCATACTAGGCCCTGGGGCACAGGTTGCTATGTTGTTAAAACAAGACATGAAGGAAGCTATGTAATGTGTGCAGCTCATCCTATGGTAATCAAGATTTTTCTCTCCCCCCTTCCTCCCCAGGCGCTGTCCCTCAGCTCTTCAGCTCAAGGCAAACAGTCTACCACTTGAGCTACAACGCTACTTCTGGTTTTCTGGTGATTTATTGGAGATAAGAGTTTCATGCCCTTTCCTGCCCAGGCTGGCTTGGAACCTGATCCTCGGATCTCAGCCTCCTGTGAAGGCACGAGCCACGGGCGCCCATCTTGTTTTCCCTTTTTGCTCAATTAAATGGATATTTAAAAAAAAAAAGACATGACTTCTACCATCAAGAATGAAGCAGCTTGTGTGTTTGTGGGTATACATACTTAACAGTAGCTGAATTACTGTTAGAAAGAGTTCCTGACACTTAATGGATAAGGACTAGGAATGCTAGCAGATCCTGATCAATGAAGACGTATTCTATCAATGTGTGTGTGTGTATATATATATATATATATATATATATATATATATATATATATATACATGCATATTATATATATAATATCCCCTTTAAGAAACAATGTCCCAAACTACATTCCTACAAATACTTACAAATCCATCTTCTTTCTCCATTAAGTTATAAGTTTGTTCTCCAAGTCATAAACAATCCTTTCTTTAAAATAAGTATCCCTGGGTAGAAGTATGCCTAAATTTCTCTACTTTCAAAACTCTGAAAAACAAAACTCAAGGCCAGTGGCTCATGCCTGTAATCCTAGCTACTCAGAAGGCTGAGATCTGAGGACCATGGTTAGAAGCCAGGCCAGGTAAGAAAGTCCATGAGACTCTTATTTCTAAGTAACTATCAAAAGTCGCGAAGTGAAGTTGTGGCTCAAGTGGCAGAGTGCCAGCCTTAACAAGAAAAAATGTGCTTGAGGACAGAACCCAGGCTTTGAGTTTCAAGCCCCAGAACTGGCATAAAAACAAAAGGTTTTCTCTATTATTTGGTTTTACCTGACAAGACAGAACATTCTTTCATAAACCTAAAAGGGCCTTAGAACAAATTATGTGAAGTGAGGTAAGTGAAGCTCAGAAAGACAAATAGCACATATTTTCTCATATGTGAAAGCTAGATCTAAAATACACCAGCACATGATGAATTATATAGGACTCTAGACATTCACAAACAGTAAGACCAAGAGAGGATACTCTTAGGAGAGGAACACAAAGGCAAAATAGCTATGTGCAGGAAATGGAAAGAAGAGGATTTTTTTCCCCTCTGTTACTATTTTTGTTTTCTTTTCTTTCTGTCTTGTTAGTTTACCTATCTTTGGGAGGGTAAAGGAGGAGGGCACAGACATAGAGGGACAAAGGATGAACAAACACAGCAGTGGCACCCACTAGACACTACATTGAAAATGAACTATACAATTTGTGGGTGGGGACAGGAGGGGAAAAGTATGAGAGGGCAAAGGAAAGGGTCCCAAAAGAAATGTACTCATTACCAGGCTTCTGTAATTGTACATCACTTTTATAATCACAATTTAAAAAAGAACAAAACTAGAAGGGCCCAGGCCTGGCCCAGTCCTCATGTTCAGACATGGAAATGAAGCCATGGACAATGACTGTGGAAATCAGCCTGGACCTCTTCCTGGTTGACTACTTCTTCCTTCTTTCTCATATGCTTCTTCTCCTCCCGGTCTCTCCAGCCTCCTCTCCCTACCCCTCCCATCTCTCCCATGTTCCTTACTGTCCTCCGAAAGCCTGCCCCAGCCAGTTATCCAACAGGCCATGTGACTGGGCAGCTGTAAGTCTGTGGGTGGGAGGCAGACTGGAACAACATAAGATGTGAACTTCACAGACTGGTGTAGCTGCAGCATGGCAATGTCATTCCCGAAGGGATGAAGCTTCTCAAATTCTGGATGGATGATAATCCGGCTCACCGACATATTTTGGGTGTGCTGTGTTTGCTGATACAGTTGGGTGTTTCCCAGCAGAACCCGATAGTCCTCTGGAGTGTGAGATTTGCTGGAAGAGGCAGGACAGAGCCCATTATCAGGACAGAGTCCATTATCACCACAATCTGAGTGTGGGGCAGCCCGATGCTTCCCACAGCTCTTCCCAGGCATCCAATTTTATAAAAGTGATCCAAAAATAATCACTCAAAGCAGGCATTCATGGCTCACACCTGTAACCCTAGCTACTAACGAGGCTGAGATCTAAGGATCATGGTTGGAAGACAGGCTGGGCAGGAAAGTCTGTGAGACTCTTATCTCCAATAAACTACTCAGAAAAAGCCTGAAGTAGTGCTGTGGCTCAAATAGTAGAGTACAAACCTTGAGAAAAAGAAGCTCAGGGACAGTGCCCAGGCCTTGAATTCAAGCACCAGAACTAGCAAAAAAAAAAATCACTTGGCTAGATTGTGATTCACTGGAAAACAGAGGATGGTGAAGAGAAACCTCGGTCTGCAGGCAGCCAAGACAAATGCCAAGTGCTATCAATGATCACAGAGCACATCTGTGCTGTGGGTAACAGACACAGGGAACAGGAGCCTCCCTGATAGTGAAGGATGATGAGGATCTGGGCATATAAAGGACGCACCGGGTCCATAGGAGTAATTCAGGTAGAGGGACTGTGAGTGAAAGGAGGATCAACGTGTGCTCAGTGACTGAAGACTGCCCAGGGCAAAGCTCAAGGGGAAAAGGCATATGATCCTCTATCCCTTTCTTTCTGTTCTACCTTTGCATCTTCTTCCCTTGCCAGCCCCTTTTTAAAGGTCCCAGGGAAGAGCTCACTTGAGAAAGCAGTGGGCTGCAGAAACCACCCACTGGGCTTCAATGAGGACAGCGCCACAGAAGTGCTGGCTCCGCAAGAGCAGGCTGGCTTGCCACGGCCACTGACCAGTCACTGCATCCTGGCCTCCAAACACCTTTCCCATCACCCTGGGCTTCCCACACACTGTGAAGACATCCCATCTACTTGTTAGAGACAGACCATTCTGTGTCCCAGACTATCACCCTATCAAGGCTTTCTACACCATTTCACAGTTTGGTAGACCAAAGCCAAAGTACAAGTGGTCTGACCTATACGGCCCACTGCCAGGGGGACTGGGTGACCAAAGGGAATGAGAGCACAAGGGTCTGGGGACCAAGGGGCAAAGGTCAATGGGTAGCAGCCATAGCAGCCCATCCTAAGGTGGGCCTGCCAAGGGCAGGTGGGCTGGGAGGGAGGCCTTGTGATGATATTCTCTCATGTAACACACTGCTATGTCTACTTTTCAGATCAAAGAACTGATGGACTCACAGGTCACTAACGTTACTTGCTCAAGAAGTAGCCTCTAAATGGATATGGCCACTCCATTTCATCCCAGTATCCAGGGAGAAAGCATGACGAACAGGACTCAGTGTAACTTGAGGCAAGTGTCTCCTGCTACAGAATTCTCTTTCTCTGTCTCTTGTTCTTTTTCTTTCTTTTCCACTCCCTCCCACCTTCCTTGTCTTTCCCCACCTAGAGTTTAAATTTAAGGCCTTGGAGCTGGGAAGGTGGCTCAGTGGTAGAGTGCTTGCCTTGCATGCTTGAGGCCCTGGGTTTGATTCCTCAGCACCACATAAGCAAAAAGAAAAAAGCCGGAAGTGGCGCTGTGGCTCAAGTGGTAGAGCGCTAGCCTTAAGCTGAAGAGCTGAGGGACAGCGCCCAGGCCCAGAGTTCAGGCCCCACGACCGGACCCCCCAAAAAATAAAAATAAATAAATAAATTTAAGGCCCCAAGATACTTTGTTTCTAAAAGAAAGGGAGACAATTTGGGTTCTAAGACACATCTGGAAGGGGAGAAGTTGGCCCAGGCCTCAAGGAGTGCTTTGTTCCCAGGCCTACGCTTCTCAGTCCTTAGACCTGAAATTTCTAGGTTCAGAAGCAGCTTATGCTACTCCCTGTCCTCCCCTGATCCAGCTACAGTCCTGTTTCTCTGCCCTTCCATCCCACCCAAGGGCTGGGCAGATGTTGGACATTTACCCAACCCCATACCAGGCCCTGGAGTATATTCCCACCCAATGGGCGAACCTGGCCCACCTTGGTCAATGCCCACGCTGAGGCTGCCTGGCTCAGAGGTAAGGGCCAGGAAGATATGGGTGAGATTTGGCACTGGCCCCAGCCAGTTCCCCACCACCCTGCCCTGCCCACAAACCGACCTTGAGCCCAGCCCTCAGAGCCCTGGGGCCCGCGGGCCAGGGACCCCCAGCCCTCTGGTGACCCATGGGTTCTCTGCTGAGTCTGCAGAGCCTTCGAAGAGCCTGGGTCGCTAGGCAGCATAGTGGGGGTGGTCTCTGGGGTCAGGGGCAGCAGCAAAAGTGGCAGAGGCCAGAGCAGAGGCCCACTGCAGGTCATCACAATTCCTGGGCCCATCCCAAACCCTGACCCTACCCGGACCTGGACCTGATCCTGCCCTGACCAGGGGCTGACCCTGCCTTGAACCCTGCCAAGACAGCCGTTGACCTCAAGTTGAAACTGGCCTTCCCTCCCTGGCCCCGCCCTTAATTCCCCCCACAACAGACTCCAACTGACTGAGCCCTGAGCACCCCCGCCCCCCAGCCTCGGATCCCAACCTGACCCAATGCTTCCACAAATCCATGAGAAGGCCAGCAAACTGGGAAAGGATATGAAAAAGGTCATCACAGTAGGAGAGTGCCGAGTACTTAGGTTTAATCCCTAGCATGTACACAGGCACACAGACACACAGACACACAGAGCAAGAGGGATACTGTTCATCAGGAAAATGAAAATAGTATTACAAACATTTAATGAGACTGACAGACTCTCAGACTTGGGGTATTCAGTAAAATCACTATTGAATTTTGGGAAGCAAGGTCCTAAATACCAAAGGCACACCTTCTCTTTGTAATATCCTGAATTTAAATGTGGGATCCTGCTGGGATTTGTTTGTGGGGTTTTTTATGTTTGCTTGTTTGTTTCAACCCACTAGTCTATAAACCTTGAAGTCTGGTGATCTTTTAAATACCATTCTTAAAGAAAAAAAATCAAATGGAGCAGAATTTGTTTGGCACACTTAAAATCAAATTTTCTTGTAACTAATCAATTTAAAGGGAAATGAATGCAACCCTAACCAATGAAAAACTGTCAACCAACTCCTAATAACTTAGAGACTTTTCCTCTGAATTGTCTGAGTAAGGCAACAGTATAATTTGTCAGTTATTTGTTTTGCTTTCTCATTCACTTCATAAAAACTTTTCCTTTGAGTCCCCCAGTGAAACCAAACTATTAAACACTGTCAGATGCTACCCAGTTCTGTAAGTGTGGCTCAAGTGATAGAGCTACATCTCAACTTTGAGATGACTGCTACTTCTGATGGCTTCTGGATTGGACTCAATTACTTGGTTACTGGAAATCTTGTTTATCAGTGTTCCTGTGAGAAAGCAAGAATTTCAAGCTTCCTAGCTCACCATTTGGCTAACATTACTTTTCCTTTACCATCTGATGTAATTTTTAGAATGTTTGTCTACTTCAATAAAAAAAAATTTCTATTGGTATTTGATAAAAGTTGCATTATGACTACATATATCAGGAGGAATGACTATTTTCCCATGTTTAGTCTTCCAGTCTATTATACAGCATGCGTCTCTATTTATTTGCAACTTCTTTAATGGTTTTAGCCAAGTTTTGTAGGTTTCATGTATTGATTAGAAACAGAGCCAAACATAAGAGTAGTGAAAATAGATTCTATTAAATAATTATTATCAGTAAAAGAGTTGTATTCCATCTGGAATTGTGCAGTGGTAGCAGGGTTTTTGAAATAGAAAATGAACAGGGAGAATGAGGCTGCCATGTCAGCATCCAGAGTCAGTTATCCAAAGGTATTGACCATCTGCCTGAAATGTTATTGGAGCATCATGGCTATCTGCCCTTTGGTATGTATGTTGACCCCGGGTAATTCTCTATGACCAATGAGTCCTCATAATTGTTGACTTCTGGATCTTCTTTACAGAGATGAATTCAGAAGCATCTGTACTGTGCAAGATAGATATAACTTTAACAACTGTGTGGTCCTGGCATATAGAACAGATGTCAGGATGACTGGCCCCAATGGACAGAGGCTGTGGGAAAGAGAACTTTTATGAGTGTGATGTCTGCATGATGGGTAGCAGTTATAAGGCCGTTCGTGTTTTTTTTTGCCAGGAGATCCTCTGTTTTGCAAAACTCCTGAGAACCGCCAGGCGCTGCTGACTCCTCAGGCTCAGCTTTCTGGAAAGGACAGTCTCCATGTGGTTTGGCTATTGAAAGCCTATAGAACATGCATCTACTCCCTTGGGGAGTGGTATCATTCAGACCATCTATGACAGTAGTTCTGAACCAATGTTATCGTCATGGAAAACTGAGGCTTAGTTGGGCCCTGGTGGCTCACTCCTATAATCCTAGCAATTCAGGAAGTGTGGAGCCAACCAGGGCAGACAAATCTTGGAAACTCTTACTTCCAAGTAACCATCAAAAAGCCAGAAGTGGAGGTATAGCTCAAGGGGTAGAGCACCAGCCTTGAGTGAAAAAAAGCTAAGGAAGAACACAAGGTCCCGAATTCAAGCCCCAGTACTGATAGATGCATACATGTAAGAAAGAAGTATCTAATATAACTTTTTCACTTTTCCAGAGTCAAACACCTAATGTAACTGCAAAAGCTTCCCTTTTTCTACCAGTGAAGACAGCCAGTAATTCAAGAGAGGGAGTGCTGGAAGAAGAAAAGGTTGTCTTTGGCAATAAGGCAATACATCAGAGAATAAAAGGCCAGCCCCAGGTTCATCTGTTCATAGAATGCCATCTCAGTCTCAAGCAACCATATGCTAGGGATGCTCAGTTGCCTGCAGAAATGACAAATTCTGGAACATGGGCCTTAAGAACATCTTATCTCAGTCCTGGGGTCACCAAAACACCCCACACCTGTAAGTCTAAGAAAATGCAACTGTACAGAAGTTTATTGGAAGATCTGCACATCTATTTTCTTTTTTTTTACTAGTCCTGGGGCTT